TAATCTTCAAGTCTTCCAATATAATCTTCAGCCATAACAACTCACAGACACCTTGTGCCATTGCTCTAAACTCGGCTTCTGCACTTGACCGGGCTACAACATTTTGCTTCTTGCTTCGCCATGTTCCCAAATTGCCTCCAAGGAATGTACAATAACCTGAAGTAGACCTCCGATGCATAGGGGACCTTGTGTAATCTGCATCGGTGTAGGCTTCAAGGACAAGCTCAGAGTTTCTCTTGAACATTATCCCCTTCCCAGGATTAGCTTTCAAGTAATGAAGCACACGGTAGGCAGCTTGAAAATGAATCTCCTTGGGGTCATGCATGAATTGGCTGATGACGCTAACAAAATATGCTATGTCCGGCCGGGTGTGGGCAAGATAAATGAGTTTTCCAACTAATCTCTGGTACATCTCTTTATCTACTGCTTGATCTCCAATAGCCTCTCCAAGTCTATGGTTCGGCTCTATAGGTGTTGCAGTTGGTTTGCTTGCGAGCATTCCTGTTTCCTTAAGAAGATCGATGACATACTTTTGCTGCGAGATGAAGATACCTTGTCTAGAATGAGCCACTTCTATCCCTAGAAAATACTTCAATCTCCCCAAATCTTTTATCTCAAATTTTTTGATCAAACATTGTTTCAAGGCTTGCTTCTCCTTCTCATCATTTCTAGTCATAATTATGTAGTCCACATAGACTATCAAGGCCGCGACTTTCCCTGAAACTGAGTGTTTGATGAAAAGAGTGTGATCCCCCTAACTCTGCTTATATCCTGTAGCTAACAGCACCTTAGTAAATCTCCTAAACGAGGCACGGGGCGGGGCGATTGTTTTAAACCGTATAAGGCCTTCCTTAACTTGCATACCATGTTCCCTTCAACTCCTCCAAATCCTGGCAGGATGCTCATATCGATTTCTTCTTCCAGGTCACCATGTAGAAAGGCGTTCTTCATATCGTACTGCTGTAATTCCCAATTAAAATTGGCTGCTAATGACAACTAGATCCTCACAGTGTTTATTTTTCCAACTGGAGCGAAGGTCTCTTGGTAATCAACTCCATATGTCTAAGTGTACCCCTTAGCAACTAGCCTTGCTTTGTAGCGCTCTAACGATCCATCAACCTTATATTTCAAGGTAAAAACCCACTTACACCCTACTGCCTTCTTTTCTTTTGGTAGATCAACCACTTACCACGTCCCATTTTTTTCCAATGCGTCCATCTCAACTCTCATTGCTTTCCTCCATTCTTCATTGGATAATGCCTCAGATAAAGTGTTTGGAATAGAGATTTCATTTAGACTCGTGAGAAAACTCCTATGGGTTGGTGAGAATTTCTTTAAGGATGCATAATGAGATAAAGGGTATAATGGTCGTTTGGTACACTCTCGACTTCCTTTCCTCACGGCTATGGGCAAATCTTGGTCAGTTATTTGAGGTCCAGGGAACTGGTGTTCTATAAGTGGAGTAGGTTCAGATACCGTTACCTCATTCTAAGGAGTCGGGTTAGAGGTTTGGGCTGCACCGTATCAGGAGCTGGACCTTGCTTCCTCGAGTACACCTTCCCTTTCTCATATCGTACGTGATCAAGAGTCATATTATCCTTCACAGGAGACACAACAGGAGACATAGGTGACAAAACAGGAGATTCAGGCTTAGGTACTGAGTTGGATTGAGTGTTTGATACAGGTAAGAGAGATGGTGAACAAAGCGAAGACGGTAAAGCGAGCTGGAAAAAATCCTTATCTTCCATGATAGACGACTCCCCCTAAAGATAAGGTTTAATAAAATACGGTTTCCCTTCCGCAAATGTGACATCAGCTGAGATATAAAGTTTCCTGGTAGGAGGATGAAAACATTTGTAACCTTTTTGTGTGGATGAGTATCCTACAAACACAGACTTAATGGCTCTAGTATCTAATTTACCCCGATTGTTGCTATGGACATGAACAAATGAAGTGCACCCAAATATCCTAGGGGTAAGGTTGTTTGTGGCACTAAGGTCGGGGTAGAATTTAGAAAGGGCTTCCATTGAACTTCTTGACCCTAAAACCCGTGAAGGAAGTCTGTTTATGATGTAGGCAGATGTAAGTACTGCTTCCCCCAATAGTGTTTTGGTACATTTTGATGAAACAAGAGTGCTGTAGTAGTGTTTAGGAGATGACCGTTTTTCCTTTCGGCGGCTACGTTTTGTTGTGGAGTATTAATGCAAGATGACTCATGAATAATTCCTTCCTTTTGAAAGAAGGGTGACAAGACTTGATTGAAGTAATCCCTCGCATTATCAGACTTAAACCTCTTTATTTTGGTACCAAACTGATTGCGGATCATTGTATGGAAATTGAGAAAGATATTACTCACATCTGATTTGTTTTTAAGTAAAAATATCCAAGAGACTCTAGTGCAATCATCGATAAAGTACACAAACCACCGTGAAACAGAAACATTTGGGACTGTGGAGGGTCCCCATATATCACTGTGAATTAAATAGAAAGGGGAGGAACTTCTTTTATTGCTAATGGGAAAAGCTACACGAGTGTGTTTTGCATACTCACAAATATCACAATGAAATGTCCCAATATTTAATCCCTTATACAAAGAAGGAAACATGATTTTTAAAATTGCAAAAGAAGGATGTCCGAGACGAAAATGATGCAACCATATGACATCTTTATTGGAAGAAGAGAGAAACGAAGAGGATAAATTTGTCCTGATCATAATTGGAAGGCTCGGTGTCTCAAGGTAGTAGAGTCCTTCCTTTTCCTTAGCACGTCCAATCCTCCTCCCCGAATCCTTGTCTTGAAATTCACAGTAAGAGGGATAAAACGTAACATGACAATGTAAGTCTCTAGTAAGCTTTTGAATGGACACAAGGTTAGCGGACAATTCAGGAACATGTAGAACATTTTTAAGAACAAGACTAGGGGTGATATGGATATCTCCTACACCAGCAACCGTGGTTGTGGTTCCATCAACAACAGTGATTTTCCTATTGCTAGGACATGAGGTATAAGTGCTGAACTGGTTTGAGGCATGTGTCATGTGGTCTATGGCTCCCGAGTCTATGATCCATGAATCCACAAACAATTTATCAGAAATATTTAATCCAAGGGAGAATAAAGACTCACCTGAGAGGGCTAAAGAACAAGCACCAGAAGATGGTTTCTCAAGGTTCCCAGCAGGTTTCTTAACTTCTCTATTTCTTCACCGTCGAATCCTTTATATTCTTTTGCCTGGTCCTGACCCACCTATGAGGTCATATAGGCTTGTCCTTGTTATCGTTGCTGCTGTCCTCCTTTGTTCCCCCATTCTCAGCTGGATGTGGGTGGTTTCCCGTGTAATTTCTAGCAACGATCCTTGGTATGTCACGACTTTTTACAGTATGTACACCAGGGATTATCTCGGTTTGCCCCCTTTGATAATTCCGCCTTTCCATGTTCAGCATTTTGCGGTAGAGTGAAACCCCGCTTGTTGTCACCAGAGACTACGATTGTTGAGCTGTCAATCAACTGAGGTTCAAGCATGATTCCTCTCTGACTCTCTTCAGATTGAATCAATGAAATCACCTCATTAAGAGATGGTACCTCCTCCTTGCCCAAAATTTGAATTCTGACTTAATCAAATTCAAAGTTTAGGCCAGCGAGAAAATCATAAACTCGATCTTTTTCAATGAAATTTTTGATAATTACAACGCATTCGCTGCACTTCAAATCAATCACCCGGTAGTAATCCAGTTCTTGCCACTAGTTTTGCAGAAAATTGGCATACTCAGTCACGGACTTGTTCCCCTATTTTGTAGACGCTGTCTTTGTCTTGATCTCGTATACTTGCGCCGCATCACGAAGCTTGGAGTAAGTCTGGTTGAGAGCGTCCCAGATGGCCTTCACAGTTGGCAGGAACATGCATGTATCGATGATTTCGGGTGTCATGGAATTCCACAACCAGGACATGACCATTGAGTCCTCCTCATCCCACGCTTCGAAACCTGCATCACCTTTCTTTGGTCCCGTTCCCAGCAAGTGACTTAATTTCCCTTTTCCTTTTCAGAAAAGTTCGAACCAATTGAGACCATTTCAAGTAGTTTCTTCCATTAAGTTGGTATGCCAGTTGAATATTCTGTAGTTCACTTGTGGAGCGTTGAACCTGCTCTTCCTCGTGTGATTGGGAAGGTTGAACAGTAGTTTCTGACATTCTCAATCGGCTGTGAAGGCGGGACAAAAGGGTTATGCGAAAATTGGCAAAAGAAATTGCCAAAGAATGACTGCGATAAAGGCAAGTCACAGAGAAAATTGGCTATGAAGGCCTGAACAGAAAAAATAAAATAAAATTTCAGGAAATCCAAGCCTTACGGCTCTGATACCATGTGGTGAAATGAGTTCAATTATATTGAATCTGTTAATATTTTTACAAGAGCCTCTGTTGGGCTATATATAAGAAATTAAAGAGAGAAAAATCAGTAACTAACTAAATTTTAAAAACCCTATAATCAGGTTTCCCTGATTCTCTATCAATCAACTAAATTTTGAAAACCCTATAATCAAGAATCCCTGAGTGTCTATCAATCAAATCCCTAAACTCTAGGAAACAAATATTTACACAAATCCCTAAACTCTAAGAAACAAATATTTACACAATTCTAGTGCTAACCTACCACTAATCGAGGAGACTAACTCGTATTTTTCCACATATCTGGCTTTTTTTTCTGTTTCTCTTTTCTTATGGAAATACAATGATGTTGGTATTTTTGAAACTCAATAAAATGAACCTAACCACAATATAGTTTAATGCCCGTCACAGAGGTAAATGGTTTCTCCATCTTCATTGATATATCCTTTAGTAGATACTGGTCAATAGTTGTACAAATGGTCTATGCAGTCTGTGGAAGTAACTTGATCTCTCTATAAAAACATTTTGTCAATACATGATTGCTACAGTTTTATATTTGTTTGTTGCTTTCGATTTTCATTTTTATCCCTGGTGAGAGGACAATGCTTGTGATGCACAGTATCATGAAATGGTGGCTGAAGCTTTCTACTTGATGGCCATTGTATTTGACAAGCTGGGGCGGTTTGAGGAAAGGGAAGAAGCTGCAGCTTCGTTCAAGCAGCACGTGACAGCAACTGAAAATCCTCAAGAAAAGGAAGATCCCTTAGTCACTTTGTTGTAAAGAAACTGCAGATGTACTTTCATGTAAACAATGTCATTCTAATAGGCTGTCTTTACTCAGACACGGATCAAATTCTTGGAATAATCAAGAATTTAGAAGAATATGGTTAAACTATTGCGATCGTCTGTAAAATTTGAAAACAGGACTTTATTGTTCTTAAGGTTTATAAATAAGCTGTCTAGCATAAGAAAGTGGTTTATTGTCTGCCTTCTCTTGTCATACTTTTCACATTGCACTTATAGTGGTTGATTCTCAATATTGAGCAGACTAATTTTTTGCAACTTGATCCTTGCTTCCCAAAAAGGAGAATCCTCACTAGTAGGCTGGCGATTATGAAAGTAGTTCCTCCTATTTGTCTTTTGATTTCTCTCTCTCTCTCTCTCTCTCTCTCTCTCTAGATTCAATTTTATACCTGAATCATATTCGGGCTTGCGGTCATGGTTACGTGATTCATATTTGTTACTTTTACCAGTTCGTTTTGCACCATCTTCATATTTGCCGTTTTTTCTTCTCTCTTTTCACTCTCATCATCTATTTGTTTCCCTTCTCCATGAGGAGTATTACTTCCTTCATCTTTCATAACTATATTTTCCTTTTTGTTGTTTACTTTTAACTCCTATTTTTCCCAACTATTTTGCTATTTTACTTGTTTCTCTCCGTCACTTTCTTTTTCAAATAGCTGTAATAATTTATCATCATTTAAATCATCGTATTGTCGTAAATTTATTTCATTATTTTTAAATTTATATTTATTATTATCATTGATTTCTACTTTTCCTTGTCCTGCAACTCAAAGAAATTTGGTTCTTCTGGTATCAAATTATAGAAAACTCCATATCTTCATTTTTTTTTTCTATTATTATATCTTTTAATTTATCTTCAACAACAGTATGTGCGTTTTATAGATTTACCACCTTGATTAAATACAACTTTTAAAGACAAACGATAACCTAACTACAAGCTTTCACTAAAGTGCAGCATCCAGTACACAAGGGACAGAAAAGATCACCCCACCAGCAGTGTAGGGTCCACTGTAAAGTAAAATATAATATATTATTATTGGAGCCCACAGTATGACTGGTATAGAACTCCTGCAAATGGGAGCACAAAAAATTCATAATGGTGTTTCTAGCTAGATTCTCACCATGATTCAATCCAACTCCATGCACAGAACAGGAACAACTTCAAATGGGAGCACAAAACTTGAATACAATATTTTAATTAATTACTTCTCATCTCAAAAAGCAAGATGGGTGACTTTTAAATAAATGGGTAAATTATATTTACACCCTTGAGCTTTCAGTTAACGCCACTCAACGAACGATCAACCTACTTATTTACATTGATAGGTTTTAAAATCTTGCATGCACACCCTTTCCCGACCATAAAAAGACTTAAATGCCCTTTAATTAGTGTCAACAATTAATTTTTAATTATAAAATGACCTTTGACCCATTAATCCACCCTCTCCTTCATCCCCGATTCTAAAATCAGCACAACCACCAGATCACCATCACCCCCAAGCACGACAACGGCACAAAGTCGGTCCGGTGGACTCCCCATCACGTGGTGGCACGAGATTGAACCTCCATGGATTCTCGTCGACATCATCATCCGTTCGATTCTCGATCGACAGATCCAAATCTCCTAGCCGTTCGATGATCATCACGCCGCGAGATCAGATTGGCCATAGACAAAACAAAAGTAATCGGTGATGAAGAACGCTCTGGCCACCATCACTGGCCATGCATGTATGTATACATATATACACATGTATATAACCCAAAGCAACAAAGCCCATCACTACTTTTTTTTTTCCCTCTTCCTCTTGCTCTCTCTCTCTCTTCGCCACCAACGCCACTGCCAAACCCGTGTTACCTCATTCCACCACCATTACAGACAACCACCCCAATCACCGCTACATCGACAGTCGTCGAATTAGATCGTAAAGAGGGAGTGGGTTAGAGGGAAAAATTGGGTTTCTGAATTTGGTGGCCGTTGGCACCAGTGATGGATCTCACTCGCCTCGTCGTCGACTCCAGCAACTATCTGACCGCCATTTAACGTGCCCATAGATCCAACAATCATTACAGTGAGTTCATATACATATATGTATATATATGTTGATAATCGCGCCACGCTAGCTGTTCAAGTGGCGCCATCTCTGAAAATAAGCACACCTGGCCAGTACTTATCTGGTGTGCTCCTGAAAAGACCAAGTATCCTCGAGCTACTCGTCCTATAACTGAACTCACTGGTCGAGAAAGGGGTCACTACCCTTCCTCTCCTGTGGACGCGCCCCACTCTAGTCGGATGGGCCCCTCCTCCACTCTTTTCCGAGGTTACTTCCTGCAGGCATAACCTCGGGCTTTTTTTCTCTCGAGCTCTCTTTAACCGTAAGGACCTCGAGACGCGGAGCTAGGTTAGCTCACATTTATGAAGCTGACTTTTCTATTGAGCTCCCCTCAGTCTTTTGCTCAAGCTCCTTCCTCGCGACCTCGAGCAGGGGGGCAAAATGTTGATAATCGCACCACGCTACCTGTCCAAGTGGCACCACCTCTGAAAATAATCACACCTGGCCAGTACTTATCTGACGTGCTCCTGAAAGGACCAAGTATCCTCGAGCTCTCGCTAGCACCTCACACTCCCTCGCGCTAGCACCTTACATTCCTTCGCGCTAGCACCTCACACTCCCTTGTGATCACACCTCGCACTCGCTCGCTCATGCTAACACTCACTCGACTTGTCCGAAGCAACCATCTTTCCTGCTTTTTTGAGGTCGCTTCCTGCTAGAGCGACCTCGAGCTTTTTGCTTTGTGAGCTCCCCTCTTTTTGGATAAAGGGACCTCGAAATATAGACTCGGGATGTGGCCTCGCGAGGTCAAGAAGGTAGAACCTCGGAGTAGGCTCATTCCTATGCTGGGTTCGGGAATCTAAGGGCATATGGACAGGTAGTTGAGATCCAAGGTACCGCCTCAGTCCGAGGCCGATGCAAGGGGGAAAGGACATTCGGTATCTAAGCTCTAGCTATGAGTGATAAAAAGTGCATTATTTACAAAAGACATTTGACAAGACCTGTATTAATTAAGGAGCGTCGTTACCTCTTTGGACCGGGCGGCAAAACGCCGCAGTCCATCCATCAATGTCCCATCTGTCTGGAGGGGAGACCCTCGAACCCTTGGGTAAGAGTGGGCTCACCAAAGGACTGAGAGACATTGACCGAGGGAATGAACACTATAAATAGGCACATTAATCAGCCTCTTTAGGGGAGAACAGGAACCCTAACCACCAGACATTGTCGAGCTCGAGTTTATTGGGTACCGAGGTCGACCTTCCTTTTCTTTATCTTTATTGTGCAAAGAGTCCCTTGTATCGCTTGGATCTCCACTTGGATACTGATATCAGATTTCTTGGCTTACATAGAACGATCTCCTCTTCCTACTCACGAACCACTATCAACATTTTGGCGACTCTGTTGGGGAGGAGCGCTTTACAAATGTCAAATGTGCGAGAGATCAGTCCACCCTACTAGACTAGCCCCGCCCTTGGTGAAGGCTATGATCTATGGGTATGCCGGGGTCGTACTTCCCCGGAACAAGAATCATCTATCCTGACACCTTGGTCGAGGCCTATAATGCATTGTCATACAGAATGGAGCAACTTGAGGACACTCAGAAATAGGTGGTGACCTTGCTTCGGGAGATTGTTATCAGAGAAATACCTCGACGAGGTACAGGTTCGAGCGGTGATTTCTTTGACGAACGCACTGGGAGGCAGGTGACCCCGGACAGTTCTATGCGGCATGCGCCCCCATCATCGGTCGAAGAAAGACGTTCCATTAGTCAACGCAAACGGCCACAAGACACACCACCGCGTGCTCGCCGAACTTTCTTTACACCCCACTCACAGCACTAGCGAGATTGGGCATGCCGAGTACCAGCCAGAGGGAGACATGTCGCAGGGATAGGAGCTTGGAGGAATTCGGACACCAACAAGACTTGACTCGGCAGTAGCCCTATGTGACCATGGCAGATCTACAAACGCTACTATGGAATGAGAGGAGTATGCTGACCCAGGAAATTGCCCCTGAGCCACCTTACGCACAGTTCATTGCGTTTCTCCCTTATCCCCCAGGGTATGTGGCCCCCAAATTTAGCAAGTTCGACGGGAGAAAGGGCAACCCGCGTGAACATGTGGTACGATTAATAGAGGCCTTGGGAACCTTTGGGAATGACCATACTGTGCGGCTTAGGGAGTTCTCTAAAACTCTCACAGACCAAGCTTACAAGTGGTACGCCAATCTGCGTCCGGATCACTTACCACATGGAATCAGTTAGCTATGTTGTTTCATACTAAGTTCTTCTAAGCAGAAGAAAAAGTGACTACTCTGTCTTTAACTAAAAAAGTTCAAGAACCTGGTGAAGACTTACTCACATATGTTCATATATTTCATGACCGGGCAATGGAATGTTATGAGACACATGAAGAGGAGGCGCTCGCTAAGATTTGTATACAAGGAATACAGGGATCCTACCGGATTCACCTTATTAATCTGAAGCTCCTCACATTTGCAGACTTGATAGAAGCATCTCGCAATCTGGCAAGCAATCTCGCCATCTGCATGCATGGTGCCATGCAGGAGGAGAATAGAGGCAGGCGCAGGCCCCAGTTTTCAGCCGCTGACGCACCCCCTAACAAGAGGAGGATGGGGACGGCCTGTACTCCTTGAGTGAAAAAAATCCAGACAAGGTGCCTCCTCCTTTTCCATGCACAGTGAAGGAAGGGGAGGTCATTCTTAGAAAGTGGATCCAGCATGGGGATATTAAGTTACCCGAGGTAGCACGACAGCCTAACCTAGAAGAGGCATCTCACCCCCGGTATTGCATGTATCATCGGCGCACGCGGCATCCCACCTTTAATTGCTGGGCTCTACGAAATATCTTTCATCGGCAAATTGTTAATGGCGAGCTTATTCTCCTTGCTAGAGACGTGAGAGAGGAGCCCTTTCCCGCGCATGACAGAGGCGTGGCAATGATGATAACAGATGTAGCGCGCAGTGAGGAAAGAACTGAGGCCGAGGCTGCTCAGGTCGCGCTGGTCAATGAAAGCGACCTCAATGCATTTCGTTTGTTAGAGGTTGCTCCTGTTAATGGTATTTTCTGGAAGATGGACTTCTCCCCCTTTGTTCAAAAGGAAATCGCCAA